ATATATATATATATATATATATACATATATATATATATATACATACAATAAAGTGTATAAAGTGCACTACTAGTAAGTGGACAGCTTAATCTTTTTTAAAAAATATTTGATGTAGGTTGGGACACCTGGATGGCACAGTCAGTCGGGTGTCTGATTCTTGGTTTCAGTTGAGGTCATGATCTCAGGGTCATGAGATTGAACCCCAAGTTAAGCTCTGCACTCAGCTTGGAGTCGGCTTGTCCCTCTTTCTCTCCCTCCACCCCTTCCCCCCTCACGTACACACAAGCTCTCTCTCTCTCTCAAATAAATAAATAGGGGCACCTGGATGGCTCAGTTGGTTAGTATCCACCTCTTGGTTCCGACTTGGACCATGATCTTGGACTCCTGGGATTGAGCCCCCAAAGAGAGTAAGGAATCCGTGCTCAGTGGGCAGTCTTCTTGAGATTCCCTCTCTCTCTCCCCCTCTCCCTCTGCCATTCCTTGTCCTGGCACTCTCTCTCTCTCTCTAAAATAAATAAATCTTAAAAAAAAAAAAAAAGGTGTAATCATCACTTAGTTTGAAATGTGGAACGTTTCCAGTACTTTGAATGGTTTCTTCATGTCCCTTCCCTGTTAATAACTGCTCATCCCCCAGAGGGAGCCACTCTTTTCCTATCGTTATCAACTAGTTTTGGGTGAGCAACACTTTGGAACTTCTGACAGTGATGTTTTATGCTCAATGACCCCTCAATGGGTGATACTTGTGTTAATGCCACTGCAGTAAAAGAACACCGGAAACAGAGCTGTAATTGAATAAATTGGGTACTCATTGGAGTGAGGGAAAGCAGACATGATCGAGAACTGTGGGCTATCTCACAAAGAGGGTATCAGAAAAGACTTGGAATTGGGGCTTTTGTTAGATGATTTCAGGGACTGTTGAAGGAAGCAGGGCTTTGCTCTGGATTGGATGCTATCCAAAATTAGGGGTAGTTTTATGACTGGGGATCTTAATTTTATCTAGAAGGAGGGAAGAATTCACTAAGGTGACAGATGTCGTTAGTAAGAAGCAATAGTCTCTTTTATTACCCAGGATAGGGGATGGTTGGTGTTTCTTGTAGCTTGGACAATGTTCAATGTTCATTTTGTCTATATTCAGAGGTGATTATGGAATTGTCCTGTTTGCATCTTTTTAAAAAGATTTTATTTATTTGACAGAGAGAACAAGCACAAGCAGGGGGAGCAGCTAAAGGAGAGGGAGAAGCAGACTCCCCATTGAACAGGGAACCTGATGTGGGGCTCGATCCCAGGACCCCGGGATCATGAGCTGAAGTCAGCCACGTAACTGACTGAGCCACCCAGGTGCCAAGGTCCTGTTTGTATCTTAACCCATCATGGACATAGTGGTCCCACTGATGTCAATGTTCTGTGAAATTGTTTCCATTCAGCTTAGGAACGGAACTGTGAGTCCCAGGCCAGCTCCTGGAAGTCAGGGGCTGCTTTCTTCTTACTTATATACCAACATTTGTTGATGTCTGCTCTGGGCTGTGTGCTGGGTGTATAGAAATTACTTGCCATCGTGTCCTTAAGGACCTCATGGCTGGTAGGAAAAATGGGCAAGAGAACAGACCACTGGAAAGCACTGTAGTTAAGGGTCTGAGCCCTGGAGATAGGCTATGAAGCTTTTTTTTCTTAAGACTTATTTATTTATTTTAGAGAGAGAGAGTAAGAATGCGAGAGTGGGGAGAAGGGGGAGAGGCAGAATCCTCAAGCAGACTCCCCGCTGAGTGCAGAGCCCGACACAGGGCTTGATCATGACCTGAGCCAAAATCAAGAGCTGGACGCTTAACCGATTGAACCACCCGGGTGCCCTGGCTCCGAACTTTAAATCCCAGATGTGCCACTCACTAACTGAGATCTGGGCCTCAGTCCGCTCAGCTGTAAACGAGGACAACAATAGCATCTACATTATAGAGTTGACGCAAGGATCAAGTGAGCTCATGCACGGATCACTGGTTACTTAAATGGCTTGGATCTGATGGGGTCAGAAGAGGATCCAGGTTTTGTGAGGCTTGGTGTTTATCCATTTTGGGGAGACCCCCTTTAAACAAAAAAAGAATTTTCAATGTCGCACTTTTTCAAACATTGTAAAACATGTGGCCACGTGCACACATCGCTAGGCCCCCTTCCAGGGCCTCGGAAATGACTTGAAAGCTTAAACTTCATTACAT